AAGGGCACGCCTGCTGCTGCCAGACGCCAGGCGGCCGCGGGCGCACCCACCTCCTTCCTCCCACACCCTGGGCAGCACAGAGTCCCATTCATCCAGGCAGGGCAGGTCACAGCCACATGAATGTCACGCTCAGTGCCTGCGCCCACACAAGGAACAGCAGTGTGCAGCCAGGGCCTCGCCCTCTCCCCTGACAGTCCTGTGACCACAAAAGCCTGTCCTGTCCCCGATGCCGGGTCCTGGTCTGGGCCTCCTGGGGACAGGGCTCAGGGGACAGCCTGAGGTCAGACCATCCTTTGTCCTGATAACACCTTCTTTAAGCATTGTCAACCTGGCCTTTGGGGGTAATGGGGCCACCACATGTCATAAGGACCAGTGCTGGCCCAGATGGCCACCATGCGCTGGCCGGGAAGGGCTAGGCAAACAACCCTCTCTGTGCCCATTTCGGGAGAACAGGACATGGCTCCAGGTGGCGGTGAGGGCTCAGTCCCTCCCGAAGGCCCACCCCGTCCAGGATAGCCAGAGGCCTCAACACCACGCCCCTCACTCACCGCCCCCACTCCAGGATGGCCTCAGGAGCCTTCTTGCTCAGACATTTAGGTGTTCACCTCCCTTCCTGCTTGGAGGCCGGCTGCCTTCATGACGGGGTCGCGCCCTCAGCTCGGCATTCAAGGCTTCCCTCCCGGCCCCCTCCCTGCATCCACATGCCATCGGCACAGAGAGTGCGCCCTGGCATTCTCTGACCATACCTCGCCACACGCCTTTGTGGCTCTCACACTGCGGCAGGATGCCCCTCAGTCACTCTGCTGAGGGAGCTGCCCGTGCCCACTCGGAGGCGGCCACATCACGTGCTTTACCTCTGATTCCAACGCCAACCGTGCAGTGCAGGTCCAAGATGCAACGAGCGGCGGTGGAGCCAGGTGTGGCCGCTGCCGAAGTTTGGCCTCTCCTGAGATGTCCTTGAGAAGGGAGCTGGTGCGCCTCTTCGATGGGGAAGCACAGGGAGAGGACACGTCGCGGTCTCCGGCGCGAGCTGCAGCACGGTCACAGCCAGCCAAGTCATCACACACCTGCCAGCTTCTCCCAGCTGTGGGCTCTGGTAGGAGGCAGCGTGCGAGCCCGCTCTTCCTCCCAGGCTCCTCACTTGGAGTCTCCTCGCTTCCCTCTCAGCTGCAGGGGACAGACCCCAGCTCCCCCAGCTCCACGAGTCTACCCCGCAGTCACGCAGTGGTTCTGTCCCGTAGGTCCATCCCTAACCAGCACAGGGATGAGGTCAATGGATGCTGCGCGAGTGAACAAACGATTGGTTTTAGGAATAGGTATGTTCTGGCTCCTTTAAGTGGTAAATTTCGGAAGAACTAAAACTAGATGATCTTGTTTTTTTTTCCAACCTTCTCTAAAGGGCAAATTATTCACGTCTGTTACAACTTCTTTTCCCAAAGGCCCCCTGGGATCACAGCACTTCCACATGGATGGCTCACAGCGTGGTGACTACATGACATGTGTGGTGAAAGTACACGGTAAAGGGGTGCGGCGTGTGTGTGTGTGTGTGTGTGTGTGCGTGTGTAGTGACTTTGCCTTAAGGTAACTGCACATCCTCCCGCCTGAGGGAGTGATGGGAGGATGTGGCGGCCCTGGCAGAACTGGAGGTGCATTCATCGTGAACTTCAGCCTTGTGCCAGCGCCATCCACCCTGCGCCACTGAGGAGTGTGACATGCGAGACTGGCTGGCTGGCTGTCAACCACTCCTATCCGGAAAGCCAAGCGGAGGGAACAGAGCAGGTGCACAACTGCTTTCTGAAATGAATGCATGGTCGAGGGAGTGCTCCAAACGAAGAGACTGTCGAGAGCTTACACGTTGGCTCTTCCACACCTCAGACTCCCACATGGAGGACCTTGTCCCTGGAATGAATCTAATCCGTGAGCACCGGCCCTGGTGTCCCCCTCTCTTTTGCAGAGGCCACAGGAGGTGACTGTTTGCTCTAGGGCGGGGAGCTGAGGAGCCTGGGGTGGGGTGGCAGGACTTGCAGCCTGGTTTCCCCAGATCCCGGCTCTGCTGCCAGCTCTTTGATCTGGAGCAAGCCACATGCCCTCCCTGAGGCTGGGCGTTCTCCTCCGTCACTCTTCCCTCTGCCTCAGCCACGGCAGCTACACTTTCCGTAATCCCAAAACACAGTCGTGACCTTGTCCGCGTCTGTCTTCCAACTCGCCAATCTCCTCGGGCAGACCGAGTCCAGCTTCTCAGGGTCTCCTTTTGTGTTTCAGATCTTTATGCAACCGTGGGTGAGCCTTGCTGAACTCTGACCTGCCTTAGAGAACACCCAGGACAAGGGGATGCTGATTCGTGACAGTCACATAGGATTCTTTTGGATCAAACAGAAAAGCAAGCAAGAGACGTAAAAGCTTACTTTCTAATGTTAACAGACTGGTAAGATCTGGAAATCTATTGTGGAACAAGGGCCTTCCCATGTTATAGATGACCCTGGTGACAGACAGGGCTTCCACGTCTCGTGTCATTTCCAGACTGCATGACGGATCGTGGTGGCTTTCTCTGATGGGAAACCGTTGTGGGCAGTGATGGAAGCTTCGAGAAGCTCACAGCCCCTCTTCCCGGAGCGGACATACTGCTCTGCCAGAGCCATCTAAGGATGAGAACTGTGAGGCTGGGGGTCAGGGACACTGCAAGGGACATGTGCCACCGAGCCTTTCCTCCAAAAGTAGTGCTCACGCTTGGGCCGATGCTGGGTGTTAGTGGGGAACTCCGTCCAAGAACACCATGAGCTCCATCCCTGCTGGCCTCCCGCCAGGCCTGAATGCCTGCGGAGCCTCCCAGGGAGCAGCAGATGTAGGGGCAGGAGGGAGGGTTCACCCTGTAACTCCCGCCCCCGGCCTCCCCTAGGGATGGGTGGGAAAGACCCAGGACTGGGCCTCAGCTGACGGAGTGTTTGTAGCCAGCACCCCCTGTGCTGGGTGGGGCCCTATGAAGCCCCTCCGGCCTCAGGGTCCTCACATGTGAAGGCGCACTGACCCCTGGCCGTGGCCGGCAGGTGGCGCTCAGCCAATGGAGGTCTGTAGGCTTCCCCAATGAATGTGTGCAGGCCCCTGGCGGCCAGAGAACGCCGAGGAGAACCCAAGGCTGGACCCCTGTGCTGGCCCAAGGCCGGCCCTTTCCCTGAGGGCTGGCGCTTACCCTGTTTGGAGTGGGTGAAAGCCCACTCCAGCAGAGCAAGGAGCCCATCAGGGAGTAGGGCTACCTTTTCATTTAGTCAGTCTTTATTTAAAGGTGTGCTTTTGAAATAGCCTATTAAATATGACCTTTTCAAAATTCAATTTCTCACAATTTACAGCAGTCTTTGTGCAAACATATTTTGACTGTGAATTCCTGGCGCTGCCCCCACCCCTGTCAGAGTTAACGATTTACAAATTCCTATCACAACATGACCCCAGCTACTTCATTTATTGCATCTGAGACTCCAGTGTTCTGTTTGACAGGTATTGAGCTGGGATAAAGGGTTGCTAGGGAAGAGCTAATTCAAGCCCAGAGGAAATAAAATATGAATTTTTGTTTTAATCAAAAAAGAATTATAACAAGGCCTTGCTTTCCAGTGGAAAACATGTGTCCCGTGGAGGTGTGGAACGCTGTTGAGCAACCAAATACATTCCCAATGGCTGTTTCACCCTCCTTTTTAAATAGCTACACTTATCTCTCTAATCAGTTCTAAGGGACTCTGGGCTGTCAGGGAGCATTATCAAGAGGATGTGACCTTCCAGGTCATGGGGGCGAGCTGCTGTGCACCCTCCTGTGGGAGGCGCTGTGGGCCCTACCCGCACCGTCCGCCCCAGGACCTGTGCCCGGCGTGGAAGCCAGCCCAGGAGGAGGCAGATGTGCTGCCAGCTCATTCCTCAGGTCAGAGCACTGATCCCGGGGACCACATTTCTCTTCCCAGCTCTGCGCAGAGGAATTTCTGGCTGAAGAAAAAGAACACAGCACTCAAGAACTGTAAAAATTAGCGATGGTTTCCGTGGGTAGCAGGAGCTCCAGCAACTGGACCTTTCGTGTCTTGTAAATAGAGCTTTAAATCCCATTTTACACACTGGATGCCTTCTGAAAATAAACCATGGCCTTTTAAATTTTTTGGTTCTATGCCTTAAGAAGCTCAACTAACTCCTTAATCATTCCACCCTGCAAGAGAGTATCTGGGACCAAAACTGTACACAGGTTTTCTACCTTTTCAATGAAGATTTCGATGGACGACTGTGGAATGACAACTTTCTAGAAAACGAACTGAAGAGTGATCTTCAGTCACCCGCGCATTGTTTTTGAACACTGAGCTCGAGGGGGTGAGGTCTCCCTGTGGAGGAGAGTTCACCGTGGCAACCCTCTGGCCGGGGTGCCAGCCGGCCGGGCCTGGCAACACAGGGACTCCCTGGCAGAATGCTCCAGCTCCACACAGCGCTCTCCATAAGGACAGCCAGGAGGGAAATGTGCGGCCCTCGCCGTGCTCCAGAGGCTGGGGCGCACCAGCAGGGCTCTGTGTGCAGCTCTCCAGCGAGCAAGGCACCCCTGCGGTCCTCTGTGCCCGGGGAGCTCGTGGGCCCTCCTGGTGCTCCCGGGTTGCTTCCAGGCTAACCCAGCTGCAGGTGGCGTGCAGGTGCCACATGAAGGGTGTGCTCAGGGGACCACTGGGAGGGAAGGTGGCACCGTGAGCAGCTTCGGGGCTGAGCTCCACAGAAAGTCAGGGACCATGCACTACCGTCAGACCATGTCAGGTAGGCCGCAAGAGGATGATAATGACCGACAACGTTCACCTTGGCTACTGGGATCTCTTAGTGCCTAAAGAGATCTGTGTGAGTGCAGACAGGCTGAGGGGATGTGCACCCCCCAGCCCTCCCCTGAGGACATAGCAGTGCCGTGACTTGGTGGCTGTGGTGACCCAGGGCTTGGCCCTGCAAGTTAAAATCCCATTTTATCACCGTCTAACAGAATGGCTCTGATCACACACTTGATTAGAATGAATATATTATTCTAGGTTAATGGTTTCCATTCCAACTTACGGAGCTTATGCTCCATCTACCCTGAACAATTAATTGAGAAAAAAGAGGCACCTCCACAGCCTTCCCCAGAACGATGTGACCCGATGACCCAGAAGGACACGGCGACAGTGGCGGCGGTGGTGACCCGGGCTCTTCAGGGGGCAGCCCTCTTCAAGTCGCGGATCTGTTTAATCAGGTAGTTCTTCTCGTCACTGAACTGCTCATCGTCTGTCCTCTCCTTCTGGAAGCTGCTCAGAAACTCAATGAGCTTGGGTTGATTTTTTAATAGAATCTCCACAATAGGCTGTGTTTTGTGAGGACTGGCCACAAACACCTGGAACAGAAAGAAACGAACATGTGGGCCAGGGACACACGCCAGGGGTCACAGGGACCCTCCCCTGTTTCCTGGGTCACTTTTGTTGAAGATTTATTTATTTATTTGAAAGGCAGAGTTCTAGGGAGAGATGGAGAGAGACAAAGATAGATCTTCCATTCATTGACTCATCAAATGGCCAAAGCTGCCAGGGCTGAGTCAGGCCAAAGCCAGGAGCCTCACATTCCATCCAGGGCTCCCAAACAGTGGTGGGGCGCTAGTACTCGGGTCATCTTCCACCACTGGATTGGAAGTGGAGCAGCCGGAACTCGAATGGGTGCCCACAGGGGATGCCGGCTTTACAGGCAGAGGCTTAACCCCGTGCCTCAGCAAGGCCCCCACTTGTCCTGTTAGCTCACAGAAAGCCCCGGACCATTCTCCTTTCTGAGATCAGCAGTAAGTCATCTTTCCTGTAACTCTCCTCACTACCTTGTATGGAATACCTCAGTGTTCTGTGACCAAGCATTACTTTAACTTTTTTTTTTTTTTTAAGATTTATTTATTTATTTAAGAGGCAGAGTTAGAGAGAGAGAGAGAGAGGGAGGTAGAGAGAATGGCTGCAATGTATGGAGCTGGGCCAATCTGAAGCCAGGAGCTTCTTCTGAGTCCCTGATGTGGGTGCAGGGGCCCAAGCACTTGGGCCATCTTCTACTGCTTTCCCAGGCCATAGCAGAGAGCTGGATCAGGAGAGGAGCAGCTGGAACACAAACCCATATGGGATGCCAGGGCCACAGGCGGAGGCCTAGCCTATTATGCCACAGCGCCAGCCCCTTACTTTGACTTTTAAAAAGTTTAAAGTATTTTTATGTCATCCTGGTTTCCCACATAGGAGACAGGGACCCCAAGTACCTGAGCCATTATCTGCTGCCTCCAGTGTTGTGAAATGGCAGGAAACTGGATTGGAAGCAGAGGCAAGACTTAATCCCAGGCACTCCAGTTTGGGACCCAGGCATCCTAACCATTAAGCCAAATGCATGTTCCTGTTTTAATTTTATAAGACTTTCAAACAATCAGAGAGGGAGCGGGAGATGGGAGGGTTGTGGGTGGGAGGGAAGTTATGGGGGTGGGGAACCATTGTAATCCATAAGCTGTACTTTGGAAATTTATATTTATTAAATAAAAGTGGAAAAAAAAAACAAAAAAAGAAAATGTTAAAAAGAAAGACTTTCAAACAGAAAATAACATTAACAGATAGTGCTACATTCACCATACCAACTGAACAGATTTTGACATTTGCTTCAAATTTTTCTTTTTTCTTTTTTTTTTGACAGAGTGGACAGTGAGAGAGAGAGAGAGAAAGGTCTTCCTTTGCCGTTGGTTCACCCTCCAATGGCCGCCGCGGCCGGTGTGCTGCAGCTGGCGCATCGTGCTGATCCGAAGGCAGGAGCCAGGTGCTTCTTCTGGTCTCCCATGGGCTGCAGGGCCCAAGCACTTGGGCCATCCTCCACTGCACTCCCGGGCCACAGCAGAGAGCTGGCCTGAAAGAGGGGCAACCGGGACAGAATCCGGCACCCCGACCGGGACTAGAACCTGGTGTGCCGGCGCTGCAAGGTGGAGGATTAGCCTAGTGAGCCACGGCGCCAGCCGAAATTTTTCTTTTAAAAGAAGTAAAACCAAGGCTGGTGCTATCATGTAGTGGGTAAAGCTGCAGCCTGCAATGCCTGCATCCCATATGGGTGCCAGTTCAAGTCCCAGCTGCTCCACTACGGATCCAGCTCTCTGCTATGGCCTGGGAAGGCAGTATAAGATGGCCCAAGTGCTTGGATGCCTGCACCGACATGGGAGACCCAGAGAAAGCTCCTGGCTCCTGGCTTTGGATCAGTGCAGCTCCGACCATCGTGTCCATCTGGGGAGTGAACCAGCGAATGGAAGACCTCTCTCTCTCTGCCTCTCTGTAATTCTGCCTTTCAAATAAATAAATAAACCTTAAAAAAGAATACAGTCTGTTTTGCACATGGAATAACACTCATGGACTCCTGTGAACACTCTCGCCTTCCTTTCCAGATGTCATCATTGTCACTCTTTCCTTAGGTTTGTGGAGCTTTAAAATTACAACCCTACCTGAGACTCCAACTCAGCTGATCTGTGGGGAAGGTCTGGCAATCTGTATTTCTATGAAGTTTCATGATCCTGGGCTAAGAACAATTCAGCTAGCCTGTAAAAGATGGTGATGACTGTTGTTAACAGGACCCAATAACTCAGAACTACGGCCCCAACTGGTGTACTGCTGTGTAACAGACACACTTCCTAGTTATTGCTACATACGAGGAGACTTCAGGAGGTTCATGGAGAACACAATGAAAAGATGTTTATTTTGATGCATAAAATGTTGAAGTATATGCATAGTTTTTTGGTGGTAAACATTTTCCACGAAATTTTTGAGTATTCCTTGTCTACATGGGTGTCAACGGTTTTTGCACTGAAATAAGCTGTCTTTTAATTCTATTTTTCAATGAACTTTTTGAAGTGCCCTCAAATATAAACAGAATACAGATCAAAGGCTCTGTGCCTGTAACTGGCCTTTGATGTGGTCTTTATCAGGCCCCAGTATCTCTCCCTTGGCCTGAAAGGAAGACATAATTATCTCTAGGATTAATTCATTAAGGGACTGACACCATTGCCCCTATGGTTAACATCTCAACGCTGGTGCTAGTATCTTTCCTGAGAGCTTTTGCAAGCATTCACAGGCAGGACCCAGATCCCAGGATCTATCACTCCTATAGCTAACATCTGGGTGTTAGACTGCAGTCAAAATGTTTTTCAGTTGGGGGCCAGCCACTGTGGCATAGCGGGTAAGGCTGCCGCCTGCAGTGCCGGCATCCTGTATGGGCGCCGGTTTGAGTCCTCGCTGCTCCACTTCCTATCCAGCTCTCTGCTATGGCCTGGGAAAGCAGTAGAGGATGGCCCAGGTCGTTGGGGCCCTGCACCCATGCGGGAGATCCAGAAGAAGCTCCCGGCTTTGTATCGGTACAGCTCCGGCCGGCCACTGTGACCATCTGGGAAGTGAACCAGCGATGGAAGACCTTTCTCTCTCTCTCTCTCTCTCTCTCTCTCTCTGCCTCTCCTTCTCTCTCTGTAATAACACTGACTTTCAAATAAATAGATCTTAAAAGAAAAAAAAAAGAAAGATATCTGCATTTGAAAAAAAAATGTTTTTCGGGAACTCAGAGGCCCTGATCAAACAAGTACCCAGACAGACTGGAGACCACCTCTGCCATTCCAAAGGAAACATGCGTGGGCCCCTCTCATTGACCAACCAGAGGAAGGCCATGTGCACAGTGGACCACCCTGAGACCCACACATGAACTGATCACGCTCTGCTCATCCTTCAGTGTGAACTGTAGAAGTCACTACCCAAACATTAAGTGTTGGCTGCTCAGCTCCTTGCTCTGCACTTTGCAGAAAATGCCCACCTTTCCCACCACTACCCTGGTATCAGTGATTGGCTTACTGTGCACCGGGCGAGCAGACCCAGTTTTGGGGTTCTACAGCAACTGCTCCAATCAGCTTTGGGGTTGTTCTACAGCATGCCACTATAGTTATGGTGTCATAGTCTTGGTTCCTAACTCCTCCAAGGGCTGAGGGCTTCCCCAGGAGGCCTCCGCCCCCTGCCCAGCAGCCCCAGCATATACAACTCTACAGTGGCATAGTAATGGGGCAGGAGGCCTGCAGGGTTGAGCCCTCAAGGTCCCAGCAGCCCAGCAGGTGTGCAGAAGGAGAAAAGTGCACAAAGATATTCAGCAGCATTGCAGAGGGAACAAGCGGTTGCCGAGGCTCCAGGAGCTGGGGCTGAAGTGAGATTTCCAGTTTGGAACAGGAGGGCTCCTGGGGCGGCTAGTCAGAGCCATGGGAAGATTTTTCTATGTGGTGGCAACAAGAGAAAACAGACCAGGAATTGTGCCAATGGAAGTCCCCAGACAGGCAGGGCTGGGGGAGCAACTTGCAGCAGTGAGGGTGGGAGTCGCGGGAGCTGAGGGAGTGCAGGCTCCAGGATGCTGCTCAAGTGCACGGATCTTACCTGGGTTCAAATTCCACCATTCCCATTTGGTGCTGTGTCTCTGAACCTATTCTGTTAACCCTGAGCCAACGTTTTGTGTGATTCAGAAATCAGAGGCTGTTGGCTGGCTGGAGAGGGGCCGGTGTCGTAGTGCAGTGGGTTCAGTCACTCTCGGGATGGTGCTGGCCCATATGAGCAACGGTCTGAGTCCCGGCTGCTCCACTTCCCATCCAGCTCCCTGTTATGGCTTGGGGAAGCAGACGAAGATGGCCCAAGTGCTTGGGCCCCTGTATCCACGTGGGAGGCCCAGAAGAAGCTCCTGGGTCCTGGGTTTGGAATGGCCCAGTTCCAGCTGTTGAGGCCATTTGGGAAGTGAACCAGCAGATGGAAGAGATAAATAAATAAAGGTAGATGTGCTGGAGAACCCCGCAGTGTTGCCACAGGAAGAGTCCTGAAGGCCTGCTGTTGTCACTGCAGCTGCGGGGACCTGTGACCATGGCCACACAGAGCCTGGACTTCCTTCAGGGCCTCGGCACCACCCATTATCCTGGCTCTGCCTGTTCACACCGTCCTGCTCGGCTGTCTTCCCTCATGAGGACACAGAAGACTTACAACAGCCCTGCAGGACGGTAGCTTTTAGCAACCTTTGATGAATAAGGAAACCAAGGCTTCATGAGGGTAAGCAACCTGATGGCAGGTCTGATGGCTGATGCACGGCCTCCAAGGGACCCTTCCAGTGTGAGGTTTTAGTTCACGCTTTACAGTTTCCGGTGATGCGGCTATAAGCCAAGCAACAGCAAGGGCTGCCGGCAACCAGAAGCTAGGAGAAGGGCTTGGAAAGATTTTCCCTGAGAGTCAACAGCAGGAACCAACCTGCTGACACCTTGATTTTACACTGCGGGCCTCTAGAACTGTGAGAGAACAAACTACAAACTTCTGCTGTTTTAAGCCACTCAGTCTGTAG